TCGTTCACGTCGGCCACCTCCACGGACACGCTGGCTGTGGCCGACAGGGAAGGCGAGCCCCCGTCCCTCGCGGTCACCACCACCTCATAGTTCGCCATACTCTCGCGATCCAAGGCACTGTGTAGAACCAATGAATAGTAATTCTTGAAGGTGCACACCAGCTTGAAGGGGACATGAGGCATCAGGGTGCAAGTCACCTGCCCATCGGCACCGGAGTCGTGGTCTGACAGACTGATCAGGGCGATGACAGTGCCCAGTGGGGCGTCCTCTTGCACAGGCAGAGATAAGGAGGTTATGACCATCTCTGGGCTATTATCATTCTCATCCAGGATTTTCACTATTACTTTGCAGTGTCAGTTAATGGGAATGGACTTTTATCAACGGCATCAATATTAATTTCATATAAATTACAGTCTACATAATCCAGTTTTCTTTCCCTGAACTGTTATTTCCCCACTATTATATTGATCGCAAATTTAGATGTTACGTTGTCAAGAACAAGATTACTAAAGAGGTACCCTATTTCCTTATTAATGCCCTCACCTGCTTCTGAGGCATTCAGTTTAATAACTAATATCCCGTTCGGTGCATTTTCCAGTATTCTGACATTATAAGTTGATTTATCTAATTCCGAGGCATCATCATTCGCATCCAATACATTGATCAATGACTGAACTGTACCTGTTAGTTCAGGTTTTCTTCCATCAATTGCAATCAGCAATAAACGATGTTCTTGCGTTTCTTCCCTACCTACTGGTTTCTTCAAAACTAGCTCTAAAAATTTTGTTTCCTCTTCATTTGTTTTAACATCCAAGTCAAAATATTCATTAGCTTGTAACTTGTATCTCAGCTCTGCGTTTCTTCCGATATCCATATCAGATGCGCCCTCTAGCGGAAACCTAGAATCCGCTATTCTTTTTTTTTTTTTTTTTTTTTTTTCCGGTACGCAGGCCTCTCACTGTTGTGGCCTCTCCCGTTGCGGAGCACAGGCTCCGGACGCGCAGGCTCAGCGGCCATGGCTCACGGGCCCAGCCGCTCCGCGGCATGTGGGATCCTCCCAGACCGGGGCACGAACCCGTGTTCCCTGCATCGGCAGGCGGACTCTCAACAACTGCGCCACCAGGGAAGCCCGAATCCGCTATTCTTGATTCTAAAATAGTGTTTATTTTTGTCGCAAGAACCTTGGGGGGTTGTCATTAATGTCCTTCACCTCCACCTCCACATGGAACACCTGCAGCGGCCGGTCCACGATCACCTCCAGGTGGATGCTGCACTCCGCGCTCCGCCCGCACAGCTCTTCCCGGTCGATCCGAGAATTCACAAACAAAATACCATTCTGCAGAGTTACCTCCAGAAGGTCCCTACGGCCTTTGGATGCCACCCGGAACAGACGCGGCACCAGCTCCGCCAGCTCCAGCCCCAAGTCCTGGGCGATGGGGCCCACGAAGGTGCCTTGTTTGGCCTCCTCAGGGACCGACTAGTGCACCTGGCCACTGCCCGCCTCCCAGGCTGCGAGGAGCAGAAGCGAGAGCAGCAGGCGCCGGGATCCCGCACCTCTTCTCTGGGAATATACCATCGCAAATTCGTTGCAATTTTCAAATGTCTATTGCACTAAAAATATAGCTTTTGGAAACTTAACTCCCAATTTGATATAATTTTGTATTTGCTCACCTTTTGAGCTTCAGCAGCAGTGTGAAAAAAAATGGAGTGGCTTTTTTCCTTTCTAAGGAAAATAAGCTCTCTGTATTCCTTTGTTGCTAAAAACAAACAAACCAAAAAAACTTGCGGTGTCCAGAGCCATCATGTGGATGAAAGGGGAGTATTTTACTTTGTTCTGCTTTATTTACCTTACATTCGTTAAATATTTCCCAATTTCAATGACTCTTATGTATTATTTTCCCTACTCTAATCAAATATATCACTAAAATTTTAATAAAATATATCAACTTTAATTAAAATATTGCAAAATCAATACTACTGAAATTGTGACACCCAATCTTTACTAGAATGATTTGTATTGGTCTATTCTATTTAGGGTTTGTATAATCCCTGACTTTAAGAGTTTTAGATTTTTCATTTCTTTCCATATTTAAATATTACTTACTAAAATTACTGACTTTTTCTCTACTATTTTGATGCGATGTTTGTATACTAGTCTTTACGTTACTCATAAAACAAGTTTATATTCCTATTTGCAGTATGTAATATTGGCTTTTGTTGATATTATTTTCAAAGTAACTAAAACTATTTGAATAGCATTCTTGTCTGAGATCCATTTCGAAGTCTGATTTTCAAATTACTGAAAATCCATTTCTTTCATTTTTCTCTATATTACCTACTTACTTTGAATGTTAACTCAAAAACTGTAATGTGGAAATGGCACTATTTGCAAATTAGATGCATCTAGACAGGTATTTCTTCAAGTTGCTATTACTGATAAATCATAACTGAGATCAATTGTGAATGCACATATATTTTTCATGAAAGAAACCAAAATCCTAATGTTGTTTGTGAGATACACTACTCCATAAAATTTTTGAGTTCCAGTAGAAATTAAAACATGGAAAGAAATCACATTATTTACCAGGTTAACTCTGTGCTAGTTTCATCTTTTTAATTATCCAGTTTATTTGCTGTATGGACTTGGACTACACTTAAAAAATATGGCCAATATAAAATGGACCAATTTTTCAACTTAAAAAATATTTAGGGGCTTCCCTGGTGGCGCAGTGGTTAAGAATCCGCCTGCCAATGCAGGAGACACGGGTTCGAGCCCTGGTCCAGGAAGATCCCACATGCTGCGGAGCAACTAAGCCCGTGCACCACAATTACTGAGCCTGCGCTCTAAAGCCTGCGAGCCACAACTACTGAGCCCGTGTGCAACAAATACTGAAGCCCGCGCACCTAGAGCCCATGCTCTTCAACAAGAGAGGCCACCACAATGAGAAGCCCACGCACCGCAACGAAGAGTAGCCCCTGCTCACCGCAACTAGAGAAAGCCCGCGTACAGCAATGAAGACCCAACGCAGCCAAAAATTTTAAATTTTTTAAAAAATTTAATATTCTACTTATGTATATACTCCCTAGAATTCCTTAAATGTTACAAAATCTTCCTTGCCTGTGAATACAATAGGGGCCAGAAGATCAATAATTCTATTACTTGATGCTTTACATGTAAAGCATAAACCCCAAATACATTTCTTTAATTTTGGTATAAGTCATAGGTATGACTGCAAGTATTATTTTTACGTCAATGTATAAAACAAATATGGAAAAATGGTACTATATAAACTAGCTTTGGGACTTCCCTGACAGTCCAGTGGTTAGGACTTGGCACTTTCACTGCTGTGGCCCTGGGTTCAATCCCTGGTTGCAGAACTAAGATCCCACAAGCCGGGCAGCATGGGGGTGGGATGGGGGGGGAAGTTTAGATTGAAAAGAAATGATTAATAGAAAATACAAAGTCAATTGAAATTAATTTGCTTCTCAGTATTCAAAACAGTAACTTAAAGACATAAGATAATGTTACTAAATTTGTTTCTGATATAATCTTTAATAGTATGTTTATCATTCTCTTTAGTTTTTGAAAGGTTTTTACTATCATTATTATCATGACTTTCCCCTTGGCATTCAGAACATCCAAACACTAAAGAAGTTAAACAGTAATCAGTTTTCAAGACAACTCACCTAACAGTTACTGATAATGATAATTTTAAAATATTTTAATATACAACGATAAAAAAGAAAATGATAATATGTGAGTTGAAAATATCATCAGTTAATGTTGATTCACCTTCTATTATGGAACCATGATTGATGTGAACCTACAAAACCACGATAAATAAATTTACTTTTGAGAAAAGTAAATATTAAGTGCTTAAAATCCAACTGATGGTGTGGTATTAACAATACATGCATAGTAATTTACAGAATATTTTCAGTAAATATTTAAAACTTTAAAAAATATACTCAATGAAGAAAATGCCATCAATAGTATCATATGCTTTTTTCAGCTTGTAATTTTTATCATGTAAATATGTACAGAAGAAAACCAGACTCTTGACATTTGAGCTCTCCTCAAATCTGTTAGATTATATAGTGTTTTAAAATTATCACCTGCATTTGTCTTTCATGGCTCAATTCTTTTTTTGGAGGTTACTTTTTCAACAAGTATAGACTCTCTAATAGTAATTCCATAGAGGACTCCATAGGTAGAGAAGATTGTTTAAATCTTTTTCCAAACCATTCTTTCAATCGAATATTATAGATTACTTTATTACTGTATAGTTTCTAGAAGTTTTTCAGTTATATATAAAGCCCACTGCAGAACTAAAACTCCTTTCCTGACAATGAATTTCGATTAAGGAAAACAGATAGTATTTTGAGGTGCCTCTGCTTAATTTACTGGAAATCATTCAGGAAGATAGTACATGAGAAATTTTAATTTTGCATTGGAGTCTAGATATCTTTCATTTCCTACAAAACTCCAGAATAAAATTTTAATAACATATATTTCTCTGCTATGTGTAGAAAATTATATAGGTCTACCACACTGTTGAGATATAACAGGTGAAGTTGAAGCAATCTTTTAAAGATTATAAACAGTTTATGCACTTGCATCAAATCTGACAAAAAAATTAATTATATGTGGAAAATAATTTATCCTACAACCACACACTGTATGCATATGGTACATATCTTTACATTACTTTTATAATCGTTCAAACTCCCTACAAAATATTGTGCTAAAATGTTTATACTATATAGTCATTCTGAGAAAATCAGAGAGTAATTTTAAAGTACCTCTGAGGGAATAAGTAAGTTAAATTAAGCATAGCTTTTACTCACAATCCTATTGTCTTCATTATTCCCAGATGAGCTCATTTAATAATGGAAAGTGACAATGGGGCTAAATTCAAGTACGTTTCGTTCTATTCTATGCATTCACATTAATATTTATGTGGCCTCAAGCAATTTTTTGTCTCCAGGCCACAATTTAGTCATCATTAAATTGAAAGGAATGACAATCTCTTAGGTCATACCCAGTTTTAAATCCTAGGTCAAGATACAAAATTAATGCACAGAAATCTCTTGCATTCCTATACACTAATGATGAAAAATCTGAAAGAGAAATTATGGAAACACCTCCATTTACTACTGCAACAAAAGGAATAAAATACCTAGGAATAAACCTATCTATGGAAACAAAAGACCTGTATGCAGAAAACTATAAGACACTGATGAAAGAAATTAAAGATGATACCAACAGATTGAGAGATATACCATGCTCTTGGATTGGAAGAATCAATATTGTGAAAATGACTATACTACCCAAAGCAATCTACGGATTCAATGCAATCCCTATCAAATTACCAGTGGCATTTTTTATGGAACTCGAACAAATCATCTTAAAATTTGTATGGGGACACAAAAGACCCCGAATAACCAAAGCAGCCTTGAGGGAAAAAAACGGAGCTGGAGGAATCAGGCTCCCTGACTTCAGACTATACTACAAAGCTACGGTAATCAAGACAATATGGTACTGGCACAAAAACAGAAACATAGGTCAATGGAACAAGATAGAAAGCCCAGAGATAAACCCACCCATCTGTGGTCAACTAATCTATGGCAAAGGAGGCAAGGATATACAATGGAGAA